CTCTTGATTAGGTCTGCTGACTTCATTCAAACAGAATAAGAGGTCTATAAGAGCCTGTTGTGATCTAGACATTACTTTGGACAGCATTTATGAGTGACATAATCAGTCTATAGGGGGCAGCAGTAGTAGACGGGCTTCCTGATGCTAGGGGGCAGTGGAGCATACTTGCACCCACCACTTGAGGTTTGTGACACAAATGTTGTGCAAACAAAGACATGAAATGCGACAGAAAAAGACATAAAATAATAAACTTCCATAGTAATATAACAAAAGTATCTTTCACTGTTAGACGGAACTCATTTTTTCATCAATATAATCCTTTTACCAAAATACTCAAACCCATACAACCTTCTGAAATCTGTATCATTATTATACTGAATATTTAAGACTTCTCAGCCAACTGGTACTGTTCTCAATTCTCAGTGAACTATATATCTCATCCAAGTGAAAAATCTCCTCATAATCATCATCATATACCCAGTGACTCCTGCACCTACAACTGTAAACTGTACTATAAAATAAAACGATCAATATTACCATTATCTTTTTTTTCATACAATACCAATCTTGGGTAGCTTGTTATAAATGAACTGAAATACATAGACACATGAAAAAAAGTCCTTATTCTGCCTACTGGTAATTCCAAGTATTAAAACCATTTTGTGCTGAAAACAATCACACCCACTATCCAGGTAGTAACATGTTATCTGTTTAAGCCAGATTTACTTGCAACCAAAATGTTATAGCCAAACTTACTAAGAGTCAGAATTAGAAGATAGATATGCTCAGCTCGGCAACAATCTGAATCAATCCAAGTCATCTAGCCTCCACATCACAGGTCTTCTTAAAGAGATCAATGCTGCCAGATGTTCAAAAAAGAAAGATACAAAACATAAACAATTTCCTTGATACATCTCACTGCTTGTGATAATGACCAGTCAATCAACTATGAAAATAGTTATCCCTTTGTTTCATTATTGAAGAGCCCTCTGTCAATAAGAGACCAGATGTCAAAGGTCAGCTTGACTTGATCAACAGATGCTCATTGAGAAGAACCAGAAAGTTTGTGATTCAATACAATGGTCACCTAAACAACATTATCCCAATAATTGTCTAGTGAAGTGTTAGACCCCATTCAGATAGAATCATCGTTCTAGTTGGGCTGGTCCAAACTCCGTGAAGGATTCTCGCTGAGTGCATAATTGTCTAACAAGCCTCTTCAAGCTTTTAAGTAGCTTCTCAAGGAGGCATGCCATACAATTAAACTGACTGCAAATAGCCAGACCCGCCCCCCTCTACCTCGAGTTGGACAGACCACACTAGTATGATGGTGATATCTGTATGTTCATTTAGTGGTGAGACTGCTGCTATTGCCATTACATGTAAAGCTATGACAATATTATATTAAATGGTGCACTCTTTCCCTTGCTTACTGTTGACTCTAACTTCAGTACAACTAATGCTGTACAAGATCCAACATCTTTCTTCTATCATATGCTTGTTAACACAGAAAAAGCTGAAGCAGTTTTTAAAAGGTCAATCTTTTCCATTTCTCACGCAATAAACATGAACTTTCAGTAACATCAACTGTCACGTGCTTCAACAAAGGCACTGAAACCCTAGGTGAGTAATGATTAGGTTTTGGGCATAAAGTACAACTGTTACTTGATGACAAATAAAATGTTGAATGCTTATCTGATCCTTTTTAAAAAAGTTGAAAAATGTGTAAATCTTTCACTTTGAATTCAATAACAAGATCAAACCTTCAGATACACAACATATGTCAGCTAAGTGAAATGAAAATGCAACAGAATATGTAACTTTAAGGCTGTTAATGCTAGTATTGGTCAACTCAAGCACTGTTATTATACCATACAGAATTCCAGAGTGCACTGTCACAGTCCCGACTCAGTACATCTTCTCAAGACCTAAATTAATTTGTTTGGTGGCAGAAAATGAACACATAAATGAATTTTTTTAGTCAATAGGTATCTGTTTCAGCTAAAAACCTTTTCTTTCAAAAATAAACCAACTTGCAAGAGCAAATCTGAGCAGGTACACGTACATCTTGTCTATTTCTGCAGCTTTCAATAAATACCGTTTTGCCCCCTTCAGCCTAGAAACCTGGTCGTAATCTAGTTGATACGGCGACTTGTACAAGAAGAGCACAGACAGCACTGCTATAGATTATGAACCAAGCATGTCTCCTGTGTGACATCACCATAGAGCTTTCTGCATATGATCTAATAGATATAGATATATATACGAGATAGAACCAAAGACAAGCTAACAAAAGCTTATGAATACATAAGACTACTTGTAAGTGTATATATCTATCTATATATATA